AAAAAAAAAAAAGGCTAAATAATCTGAGCAACTTGAACAATTATCAATATGGTTACCAACATATAAAGTTTCAAAAATATTGTATGTAATAATTTTTAAAGTCAGAGAATTTTGTGTAGATAATTATGAAATTTATTATAAAAAAAAAGCCAAAAGAATCCGATCATATTGTGAAGGTTGTTACAAAAAAAAAATGCTAAAAATTCGATCCTTTTACCAAATTTTCGGCCAGAAATTATGTGTAGATAATTATGAAATTCGTTACCCAAAAAAAGTCAAAGAATCCGATAATATTGGGAAGGTTGTTTATTATTTACGAAAAACAAATCAATATATTTACACGAAGAATCCATAAATATAAATATTTCATGGAGGATTGAAGTTTATCAACATTTGGTATAGCATCCAATATTCTCGGAACAAATTTTTGTTTGATTTACAACATTAATTTGAATGAAAAAAAAATTTAAAAATCCGTTATTTTTGAGATATCTCAATTCAATCTCTCTTTGAAGGTCAATATCTCACATTTTTTACATATAAATCTTCAAATTTGTTACCAAAAAAATGGGATACATATTTTGATAAAAAATAATAAAAAATTATATAAACAATTTTTAAATTATTTTGTATTTGGATTTATTTTAATAAATAATTGTTATATTTTTGTTATAACAATCCCATATTTGTTACAAAAAAAATTTACGAGAAATATATAGAAAATCCAATTACACTAAAGAAATAATTCTCAATATAAAATACATGTAATAAAGAAAATTTAGTATAGACATTGTACCAATTAAATTTCCTATTGCCTTTTCCCTTTATTTTTTTAATAAATCAAAATTTATCCCTTTGCATTTTCGGCAACTACGAGGAGGCTACTATGTAGAGCCAAATGGCGCGTGATGAAAACTACCCCAAGGGGTAATTGCGTCAATGCACACCACTCCCTTCGAACGTCGTGTGTGAGCATTTTACACGTGGACGAAAGGCAAAGAATATGTCACCCAAAATCGGTCTTCGTCTTTTCTCCTCATCGCCCCTATTTTCCATTTATCCACAAAATGCCCCTCACCGAGGAACAATCCAAAACAGTGCAACTAAAAAAAGTAAAAGAACACACAGTCACACACCAAAGAACACACACACACACACACAGAGACCAAACGAGAAAAACCCCTTTGAAAAACCTCTTTACAATTCACAAAATTCAATTCAAATTCAATCTCATTTTGGATTAAGTCCTCAATTACTTCAATCCCTTGATTGAAACGCGATTTCTATCTATAAATAGACGCGCACATTTCGACTGTGTTGGAAGTCAATTGGGGTCGAAAATCCAGGGGCTGAATGTCGAGTAAAGGAGGGTATGCGGCAGCGCCGCCGCCGCCGCGGCAGGGAGGCGACAGGTTCTACAACCCGCCGGCGTTTCGCCGCGACCACCACCAAACGCTCTTGCAGCAGCAGCAAATGTTGCAGAGGCAGCTGCTCCAGCAGCAGCAGCAGCAGCACCTACAGCTCCAGCAGCACCGCCTGATGCAGAGGAGGGCGGCTCCTGCGCCGGAGTATTCCCCGGCTGCGGAGGCTGAGGCTCGGGACGACGCTGATGCTTCATCGACGGAGGTGGCATTGTCGGTGCCGCCTTCCGTTGGCCGTGGGTCGGCTTTGAGCGTTACGAATTTGGATCGCTTGATGGAATCTGTTACTCCGTTTATCGTGGCGCGGGGCTTGTTGGAGGTACACTAAATAAGCCGTTCCTGTCTGTTTTGGTCTATTTTTTATTCTGCTGATGATAAAACATTAAAACCCTAAACCTCTAATTTGTTTGCAGAAGAATGAGAATGCATGCAGGAATTAAAATTTTATACTGTCGTTCTCTATGAATTGATGGTTTGATTAATAAAAAGATCACGTTATTGCGTATGAAACAGGGGTAATTGAAATGATTCTTGTGGAACTATTTTTCTCGTTATTTCTTGATATCTGAATATAATAAAATATAGGTTTTAAGTTTCCCTTCTATTAACTGAATGGCAGATATGTATGAATTTTCGGACCTTTTCCAATATGAGAGAAACCCAAAAGCATGAAGACATGAAATTCTCCAAGATCTTATTAAGGAATTAGATCATATCTGCAAGAATGTTAGAAAATGAAGATCTTGAAGGGTCTCGATCTAGATTTATTGGCATTCCAGAAACGTTACCAGAAAACTTGTTGATTCTCAAGTTCGTTAATTTGTGAAATCTTGTTGAGTGATTCATTTGAAAGATCGTTAAATTATTGCGGTTGTCTAAAAGATTGCTTTGAGAAGTCGTTAAATTCTGTTCATCATCTAAAGATTTCTTTCAGAAGCCGTTAATCTCGGGACTCGTTCAGCATATTGTTTAGGAAGTCAGTAAGTTCGTGATGTCGTTTTAAAAATTGTTTCGGAAAGTCGTTGGTTTAAAGTTATTTGGAAGAATTGGTTATTTACTTTGATCTGTGGCTGTTTAATATATTTGTTCCACAGCATTTGAAAGCTTGTGATGGGTATTTTTTTCCGAGATCCTACTAATCTACGGCTATTTGGAAGTCGTATGGGGAGTTTCCAAAAGTTATTAGTTCGCGGTTCTATTTGAAAGATTCTTTAAAGCGATAGTTGTCGCAAGTTCATTAATCGTCGTTCCAAAAGAGGTTCTAAAAGTTCGTTTGTGGGTCCCATTTCACAAAATTTAACATAAGCTAATTTGCTATTTTATTTTCTTGTCAGGTGAATGCAAGGGGCCAGAGAGCGCGTGAAGTGGATTCACTTCCTTTTTATTACTTGGAAGATCTGTGGGAATTTTTTAGCGAGTGGAGTTATTATGGCGCTGGAGTACCTTTATTGTTGCATGGGAAAGACCGAATCGAGCAGTATTATGTCCCTTTCTTGTCAGGCATACAATTGTACGTCGACCCTTCAAACCCTGCGTCTCGACTTGGGTGAGTTTTAGCTGAAACGAGCTAGTGTGATCATTCTAATTACATGGTGTTCGTATTGAATAATTATCTTTATTGATTATTTGTCTAGTTTTTATCATTTGTATGCTATCTTGAACAAGTAATATTTTGTCAGTCCGATTTATAAAGGAAATTGTGCAATTATTTTTAGTAGGTATGTATGATCTAGGAGGGACGGAACGGAAGGATCTTATGTCGTTCATCATTTTATCACATGGAAATTTTACTTTCTTGTGTCGAATCTATGATTATATGCGTAATATTCTGGGAAATTTGAAGTATGGCGATGCAAAATTTTGTGCACATGATGATGGAACTTTTTAGCAGGTTCCTAGAGGTACAATATAGTATTAGATATCATCTCATATATTGCTGATTTTATTCCTCAAGTTGTCTGGCTCTTTCTTAAGCTAGGAAGATGTTTCCAACATGATTGTGAGTTATGAGCCATTATCTTCTTCCATAACTTATGGTATTGTTTTAATTAGTGCAGATTATGGTAAATCTCCTTTTACGCCTTCGTTGTTTTAGTGAATATTGAAGAAAATTTTTGTTTTATCCCCTATTCAAAGTCTTTGCACTTAAACAGTTCCTTTGCATGTCCAGTGGACCCAATGAGGAAATTGATGCTAAGTCATATAGGCTGATGAGTGGTGCTGGAAGCAGCGACTCTGCAATAGACGGGCGAGCTAAATCCAGTTTTAGCTCACTGGGAGATAAATCTGTCATAAATTCAGTTGGTTCTGAAGTTGCTCATTCTCATGGACAGCCCGTGTTTCAGTTCTTGGAACACGAGCAGCCATATAATCGCAGACCACTGGCTGATAAGGTAGAATCTGGGCAAAGATTTTAAAAAATTTGCTGGCTTAATTCATTTATTCATTCATTTCTCACGTTTATGACTTGACAATATTGTCCTCACCTGTGATTGTGAAGATATCGTTGCTCGTTTCGCAATATCCCGAGCTTAGCAAGTTCAAAAGCTGTGATTTACTTCCATCTAGTTGGATATGTGTAGCTTGGTATGCCTCCCTTTCCCGATTTTTTCATTATACAATTGATGTGTTCTTAAGGTGATGGCTAATGTATGTTCTTCATGCGATCAATAACCGAAAATTATTTGTTGCAGGTATCCGATTTATAGGATACCCATTGGCCCGACACTGCAAGATCTCGATGCATCTTTCTTGACATTTCATTCTTTGTCGACTCAACCTAAAAGTACCCATCTCTCTCTCTCTCTCTCTCTCTCTCTCTCTCTCTCTCTCTCTCTCTCNATCCTACATACTATGAATCACATGAAAACACAATTTATCTTTCAATTAGAATTATAAGAACCAAACGGACAATAGAGGAGTGATATCACGCCTTATCCTGGCTAATCCAGGAAAGCAAAAGAGGCCATCTTTTTTAATAAAAGTAGAACATCTTTTGGTTTCCTCTTCCTCAAGCCAATAGCGAACACCACCTTCAAATACAAACCACATTCATTATCAGTCTGCCAAATAACATATCATAAAAAACACATACATAAGAAAAGGAAAGAAGAAAGATAAAAAAAAAAAAAACTATTTCCCTGCAGAGTAGGATAATGATGATGGTGATGAGAAGAGGTGAGGTTTCAGCTGGTTTGGTTCATCGAGATGGTCGATTGACAGTAGTTAAACATTGGAGTATTTGGTTATATTAGTGTGCTAGTTGAATGGCTGATGGTGGTAAGTCAGTAATTAGAAATTATTGGTGATAATGACGAAATATGAGAACCTTGTAATTTCTGTACTTTTGAAATGGTATAGCTGAAAGCTTATATATAGAGAGCTTTATAATTGTTTCTTTTGGGAAAAATCAGTTGTGATTTGTTTAGTTTTGTATTTGCTTCCTGACTCATCTAATGATTCTTAGATAGGGTATATATTCAACATGATTATTTTGATGGATAATAACTTTAGTATCACCCCCTACATGATATTATTTCTAGATTGGCATTAAAAATTCATTATTCTCGTGAATTTCATGTGCTTCATTTCAAGCATGATATTATTTCTAGATTGGCATTAACAATTCATTAATCTCGTGAATTTAGTTCATGTGCTTCATTTCAAGCATGTATTGCATCTCTATATGTATGACATGATTTGTCGGATCAAAATGGGTTAATTTTATGACCGTTCTCCTATTATTATGCAACTTTAAATTGGCTAGTAAAATTTAAATATCGTGTTGAAAGTTGATCAAACTGAGTTAATTTTATGACCGTTCTCCCATTATTAGGCAACATTAAAGTGGCTAGTAAAATTTAAATATTGTGTTGAAAGTTAACTACACGTGTTTTGTTAATTTTGTGGAAATACCAATTTAGCTTATTTTTGTATAATAAAAAGTTCTACTGATAGAAAGTAACAATTTTATCTATTTTCAATCAGCACAGATGACCTTCACTTGACTTCATCCGATTCAGAAGTTCTGTGTTTCAACAAACTGAACTCAAATATTGATGTATATACTTCTCTCTTGCTAAACTAATCAATCATATCAATGGTAAGCCAACCAAAATAACAAATAAATATATGTAACTGAAGAAAAATGTGTCCCAACAAATCATTCCTACGCAAATAATGAATAGATCACAATACAACTTGACAATCGATCATCATCACTATATATACAGACACAGTTGATGAACAAGACCACATGAATGAAGACTAGCAGCATTACATTTTTGGCTAAATTTATTGGTGAAACCAAAAGTTCAGAAAACACCCTCTTTCATCGATCGATGATTTGACATCGAATCTGTTTATAAGTCGTCCAGAATTGCGGTTAAGAGTAAACCCTGCAAAAACTCGCACCTTCTCGCCTTCTCGTTATCCACATCAGTTGGCAGCGATTGTGGTTTGCTGAAATTCATGATGAATACCATTAAAAACAGTATAGATCAAATCATCAATTGGAAAATAATGAACCTTTATTACGAAAAATGCCATGAAATGAACGAATAGAAGAAAAAATCCAAGTAGGAACCCTCACCACAACCTGTACACTACCCTCCTCGTAATTCATATCCCACACATTAAGTATGTCAGAAAAGATACGAAGAAAAAGAAAGAGCACGCCACCATTTAATCAATTCAATAAGCACGGTAAATGCAATTCTAACAACTACACAAGGATTTGGGTAGGAAGCAAGCAAAATGTATACACAAAATCCAAGGTGAAATAATAAAAACTAGAGTAGCCACCAATGAAGTTAACAGCAGCATGGATTTTTCATAAACAGTCGAAAAGAATCAACCCTGAAAGACATTTTACATTACCTCTTTTCTATATAATCATCTGTCGAACTTGTTGCAGGCAAGCTTGCATTATTTGTATGAGAAGCTTCCACGCTTTGGCTTTTTTTGCCAGTCATTTGTGGATTATTGACAAATGACAACAGCATAGAATCAGATGCCGAATTAGAGGAAGGACCTACACTGAGAGTCTCCTTAATACAGCGTAAATGTTTCTCCTGCATTTCTTTCCTTAGCATATATATAGATGTACGCGAACGAGCCCCTCTATGCTTCTTATTGCAGAGAGCGTATGTTTTTTAGTTAAAGGTAAACGAATATTTGAACTCAACTTCAGAAAGTAACTAATTGTACGGTTTTTAAGTTTTAACAAGCTACAGCCATAGCCATCACACAAACACATTCAAAAAGGATATCTTTAATATACTCTCATGCTGAGTTATTACATGCGAAGCCATGTTTATGCCTACCTTTGTAGCACAAACTGGACATATCTGCAAACAAAAGAAACTCCAAATAAACTACGATGCAAACATCTATCTCAACATGAGAGAGCTCAAGAAAGCTAATTGTGCATAGCTCGATGACAATTTACACGCACCAATTTCACCATATGGGGCTTTCAATCCAATAAAAAATTTACCTCTCCTAAAAGGTGGAAGACCCTTACATGAATCGCTAACAAACAAACTAGCTTGTCTATTCTTTTTCACAAACCTGCTGTTTTATTCTCAATAACATTTTTAACATGCTGCCAAATTAACCAAAACATCATGCCCTAACTTCCCATTAAACAAAATTACTCATTTTTTTTTTTTTTTAACAAAAACAAATACGATTAACCAGAAAGCAAACGAAAAAATAGAAAAATGAATTTTTCAAGTTACCCCTGGTTTAACCTCCATGCGGTGGTCGGCATCAATGTGGCAACACAAACCCAGAACATCAAAATCATCGGTACAAAAGGGGCAAGCCAATTCTTCCGATTTCTCGTCAATTTCCACATAATTGTCTCCTTCCTCCTCGTACTCCTCTTCTATTTCCCCGTGCTCTTCGTTGTAATAATCATCTGCAAAAATACAACCACATTTTTTTCTTCGCCAGGATTAAGAAACTAACAAATTCGAGCAGCATAAACATTCAAAATTGGAAACTGAAAATATGCACCGCATGCAAAGATTCACACACTGACCGGTGCTCGGTAACGAGTAAGACGACAGCGCGATTTCCAAATCATCGTAAAATCGATCGCCCATTTCAATTAAATCAATAGATTAGTATATTATTCCAGTTAAACCTCAACAAAATGTACACAAGTCTACACACAGAGCTGGAATTAGGTTAACAATAAAGAGGAAAGATAGGTTAAATTATCTTAGTAGGGTTTGCAGATGGTTTTATCCCTCTCTCTGTGTGTGCGCGCAAACGAGAGACGGAGAGAGGATGAGTAGCGAGAAAATTGGCAAATTGTAGAGAAATGAATCGAGAATTTGTCAACGCATTCCGGGTCGGGTCGATATTCGGGTTACTAACACGCGGACCCGTTTTCGATACCCGATTGACTCCCGCGTTATTTCAACTGCTTTTGTTTTATGGGTTTGGTTGTTATGGTTTGCCGAGTCAACTAACCCTTTTTTAATATAACACTAGTATTTGATCTTGTGCATTTGCACAAATGTAAATAAAATTAAATATTATAAGTTATATTTATGTATATAATATAAAAATTATAAGTTATATAATTGTATTATATTTCAAACATATAGTATTATAAGTTATTTTTATGTATATAATATTAAAATTATAAATTATATAATAGTTGATCATTGGTTAAAATAAATAGTACACACGATTTGATTGTATACGAATCACTATATTGATTGCATAAAATGTAATAAATATATACTTTTTATAATTTTGAGTTATCATAACCAATTAATTAGCTAAAAAATATTACATTTATTATAACAATTGCTTATGTGATTTTAAGAAATTTTACTATAACATAAAAAAATTAATTTATTAATAAACAACATCTTCATCATATAAGAAAATATTGATTTTAGTGTAAAATATAATTTTATGTAACTTTCATATATTATTTAGTATAAAATATAATTACTAATTTTAATATTAACTATTATATTATTCAATAAAAAATATAATTATTAATCAATTAACATAAAATATAATGATTTTTGTCTTAATTAACTCAAAAAATGTAATGAAATATTTTCTTATTAATGAGATTGGGTGTATTAATGCCACATAAATAAAATTTATTAGGTTCTATTTATTAGGTTTTATTAATGATTTGCCACGTAAGTAAAATTTATTAGGTTTTATTTATTAAGTAAAATTTATTGCTTAGCTAGCAATTATATATATATAGATTCGTTCATAAAATTATATAAGATGACATTCGTTTTGTTACCTTCAAATTGTTAAAAATGAAAGTCAAGTTAATAATTTTAATAAAGTACTTTATTTGGATGATTCGTTTTTTTACCTTCAAATTGTTAAAAATGAAACTCAAGTTAATTATTAATTATTTAATGAAGTACTTTATTTGGTTTCATTTTTATGATTTTATCAAAATGTTGGACTTCTATTTATTTTGTTTATGTCAACGTCAACTCCACAAATTCAAATACTCACAATCATTTTATGTCAAATTGGAGTTTTCTTAAATGTTGGCCCGGATATAAAATTACCCCCAATATAGACAAGTTGCGTATAAAATAGTGTGTTAGCCCGAACTTATTCATCCTACAATGTGAATATGAGCCCAATCATTTTGCCCACGGAGATTAAAATAGTAACTTGAACAGAAAAGTGGGGCCTATGTTGTGTACTTTATACTAAATGAGTCAACAAGAAAGTGGGCCTATGTCGTGTACTTTATACTATAGTTGTTAAATAAAATGAGTCTTTCGAGAGCACATTTCGACTTATTTGATAAAATTACACTATGCCAAATCATGCGAGCAACCGTTGCTAAGAAAGATCGTGATATATTATATATATATATATATTATAATAATTTAGCTATTTAATTTAGCTTTCTTTATATTACTATATAGTTTATATTAATATTTTAATATTAATTATCAGTTTTAATTGAAATTTATTTTCTATTTTTTTTCATTTTAATAAACAAAAAAAAAGAAGTCTACTTTGTAACAAGCACCCACTCACAACCCATGTAACAAGCTACACCAAGTAACAAGTGTAGAACAATTAGTTCGACCACCGTTGTATAACCATTCATAAACGGATGTTGTTTCCCAGATTGGGTAAAAGTGCAAACCAATAGCTGCAGAAGTAGGAATAATGGCACCGGAGATAATATTGTTTCCGTAAAGTAAAGATCCAGAAACAGGTTCACGAATACCATCAATATCTACTGGAGGAGCAGCAATGAAGGCAATAATAAATACAGAAGTTGCGGTCAATAAGGTAGGGATCATCAAAACACCAAATCATGACGGTTTTTGAGTTAATATCATTCAAATTGCCGTTATAAAAAAAAATTAAAACTTTGGTCATTAAAAGATATTTTTGATTAGAAATTAGTCCAAAAAATACTATTAATTCGGCAACAAAACCACTCATACCCGGCAATGCAAGGGGCCATCTAGAGGAAAATGGATATCTCCAGAAAAGATTTGAAGTTCATTTTTTTTTTCTCTCTCCACTCGGACCAACCCACCCGCTCGACTTTTTATATTGAAAGTAATTTGTGTATCTTTCCGAATGATACTATTGTTCTGTACCATTATGGAACAAGAGTCAGGCAAGATATGCACTTCCTCGAGAATGAAAAAAAGGCGGTCTACTTGGATTTCGACAAAATTTCACTCCATTTTAAGTTGGAGAGTTCTTCATGAAGTATAGTGAAGATATCTCCAGTAACCACAGAAAACAAACTTCTTGAGTTGTAGGCATAGTTTTTAAACCCGGCCCGAGAATCGACCCGGGCAGGTCTCCGGATCACCGGGTCACCGGTTTAACCGCTGGGTCACCGGGTCAATTGCTGAACCGGATAATTAATTTTAAATTTTTTTAAATTATATATAGAGTATTTTGTCTTATAAATATACATAAAAATAACAAATTAAATATTTTGTATATAAAATTTGCACATTAAAGTGCTAATAATATGTATTTCATGATAAATATTTACCATATAAATATATATAAATAGTTTTATTTTTTAAAAATAAAAAATATATTAAAAAATAAAAAAAATAATAAAAGAAATATATAGGACCGGGTCAACCGGGTTGACCCAGCCGGGTCAATGCTCTGGGTCGACCGGGTCAATGTCGGGTTGACCGGATTTTGACCGGGTCCGTTGTTTCCCAGTCCGAATAGCCCACCCGGACCGGTTCCAGCTCCGGGTCGACCCGTCGGGCCGGTCCGGGTTGAAAAACACTGGTTGTAGGGAAAAAAGAGAGGGGTATTTGGGTCTTTGTAATATAGTATTAAAGTTGCCACTTTACGTCTGAGAATTCGCAGAGAACCTTTATTATATCTTGCTCCCAGTCGTGTCGCCTTATATAGCATATTTTTTTACAGTAGCAGGATCACTATAACTGACTCCATCGAGTTCGCCGCCGCAGAACTCAAGCGTTATACCTACTTGCTCAACACTATACTTCGATTCTGCCCTTCTAAAGGGAACATCAGCTCTAACAATTCCATCAACGTCTAGCAAAACAACCGGAAATGTTTCAAAAAAGGTAGGCATACGACGTACAAAAAGCTCACGCCCGTCTTTATCCCTAAAGATAGGGTTCCCGTTAGTCCATAAGGATCGGACACCCATATTCCAGAACCGTATAGGCCTGTTACATGAAATGCACCAAAACCAAAGCAAGCCATCCCAGAGAGGAATAAATGAATTCCAAAGATTTTCGGCAAATCCAAAGAAGGTTTTCCTGTACGTTCATCACAAAACACGTTTTGTTAGCTAGATAATTTATTGCATATAATTTTTTCTGAATAAGTTCGTTAATATTGATAAACGAGTTAAACTCGAACTCGTTTAATTAACGATCTCGACTTGAACGTAGAACAACATCAACTCCTTAGAACGTAATGACCATTGTATTCCTTAGAACATAAAACAACATCAATTCTTTTACTTGAAAAAATAAATAAATAAAAGAAACATTTTTGTCAATCAACGTTAGGGCACGTATCGGCCAGTAAGGCCTCTATCTCGTTTATATGTACAAGAGATAGCGAGATATATGATATCATGAAAGTCAATTTCAAAGCTTATATTTTATGTAATGTATTCATGTGAGATATTAGGACGCAAACGTGATGATTGAACGATGTAAGAAGGGTATAGTGCCATCATAATTTAATCATATGTGAGACAGTTAAATTTAAATCTTACCGTATTTAATTATTCAAAAGTAACAAGTTAAAAATTAAAATCACCTAAAGTACGTATATTTTCATGTTACGTATTAAATCTGTGAGACAGTGACTGTACTCTGATTATAGTTCTATACGACTATACCCAAACCCAATCGCCTTTATTTGATTCGACCGTTGAAGCTGTAATACTTTTCCCTTTTTCATTTTTCTTATTATTTTATTCCTACGTTTGCCTTTAATGTCAAAAATTGAATATTACGAAGAAA